ATTTTCAACATCGTCATTAAATTATTTATCTTGCGCTGCTTATTTCTCCGTTAATTTCACCTTCCGAAGGATCAGGCCTAACCATTTGACCGTCGTGTCAATAGTCCTCACCCTTGAACTTTTCATTTTCTAAACCCTATTAGCCCATGTGTCCCGCCATGGACGAGAATGCCCTTCACCCTAACTTTAGGTTGAAGAGTCGCCGTACTCTATTTTAGGGTTTCCCGCCGCAGAACCCCTAATTTAATTAACAATCTCAACATAAAGATGGAGTTTCCACACTCCACGTAAGCGTGTCCTTAAGATACGCTTATTCTCCATTGAAACCTTGACCACAGTCAAGAAGTTTCTAACCTCCCTTTCGAGGGGAACTACGATTACTCTGATTCCATTCCCTATCCAGGATACGTAGGTACAAGATGCGAATCTTGCCGAGTAAACTTAGGACTAACCCCTTAGGTTTTCTTTTCCTTAACCCTTAGCTCAGTATATATCTTCAAACAAATAATTAAAGCAAATAGTAAACAATAAACAATAAACAAAAGGTTCCTGTAGAGTACTGCAAAAGTTTAGGGTGTTAATACCTTCCCTAAGCTTAACCAACCCCTTACCTAGATCTCTCCCCACATTGTGTTTACGATGCAAAAATATGTTTTCCCTCTTTTGACCTTTTCCTTCGGATAAATCAAAGAGCGGTTGTGATTTGAATTGTGATTCAAACTAATTAATAGTCTGATATCCTATTTCTACCGCAACACTACCGATTTAAGTGTATTGCATGATGGGGGTAAAGATGAGAAATCCTTAATCTCATTAGGGTTCTATATTTTCTTTTGATGATTTGTTATATGATGAAATTATGGAAATTAGTTGATTGATCTTGTGTTTATATGCGTTGTTATGAATGAATCCATGTTTGAATGATTATGAATATGTATGTATCAGATTCTAGCATTGATGAGGATGTGAAAGCTTGAATTTATTCATGATTAATGATGAATTTGTTGTTAATAAGTATTGATGAAATTGCTATGGATTGTGATGAAATAAGTGTTATTAAACATGAATCACTATCAAATCGTTTTTGAATTAATGATGTGGGAGACCTCGAAGGCAGGTTAATGCGTCGGAATGTGGAACGGGGAATGTTTCGATCGGGCGGGTGTCAGAATGTGAAACGGGGAACGTTTCGATCGGGCGGGTGTCAGAATGTGGAACAAGGAACTTTTCGATCGGGCAGGTCATTGATTTTCAATTCAATTGTTGTAACTGATCGTACTTGACCAAAAGGTGGTCGATGATCGTCGTCGATCTGAAAGTTGTTCACCCAAAGTGTAGAAGAGGAGGGGGTGTACCTGAAACACACTCTGATGCCAAAGTAAGTGACGAGCAGAGTGGAAGCAAGTACAGAGAGAGAGTAAGAGAGTTAAGTTACCTGACCCTCTAGTGAAGAGGGTATTTATAGTGAGCCCCAACGCAGGGTCAACGGTTACTTAGCACTGGGCTGGGCTGCCAGGCCCAATGTAAGTAACTGTTAGGGCTGACGTGGCGTCGTGAAGATCAGGACGTGGTTTTCGCCCTAGAGTAACTGTTCCGCGCTATCCGGGAGGAGGAAGACCGAATCTCCAGGACGTGGGGCAGTTACTTTATGACGTGTCCCTGCGTGAGGGACACATGGAGAATGTGGGGGAAGGGCTGAGGAGTTCCCTGGACAGGTAGAGGTGGTTGGTCGGATGCGAGGTGTAACACCCATTTTAATTATTTTTACTTTCGGTGTTATTTTCATTATCGGCGTGCTTGCGTGGATTTTTGTTGAGAAATAAAGTTCCATAATATTAGAAAACTATGATTGATAATAATAATAATAATAGGATGATTAATAGTGTTAATACTATTATTATTGATATTATTATTATTATTGTTGTCATATTTAAAAATATTATTGGAAGGGTTGGAAATTAAAAGAAAAATAAGTTTATTATTATTATTAATTGGATTTTTGGAATTAAAGAATTATGAGAATATTATTTAATTGGAATAAAAGTGGATTAATTGGGAGGACGGACATGTTTGGAAATTGACATCAGAATTGGAAGGAGAGGAAGACGCATGAGCTGAGAAACACGGTTGAAGCATCAAGAGCAAGAACGATCAAGAGCGGAAAAGAGTGCATCAAGGCTGCGGATTGTGAAGCTTCATCATCATTAGAGCGCATTTGAGGTAAGGGGGAGGGGATATATCGGTTAAATGGTATCTACATGAATAATTGGTAGGAATGGGAAATCCCTAACCCCATGAGTGAATATGTTTGCATGTTGATGATGAATTGCATGATGAGTTAATGATATTGCATGTATTAACTCTGTTTTACATCGTTGATGTTTGTGTTGAACTGTTACATGCTGAATTTGATGGTTAATTGATGAATTAGGGGTTTCGGAGTTGAATGTGGTTCTGAGTCGAGAGTGAATTGATCGGCGAGAGTCGATGTTTCATCGGGTGAATTGGACACTAATTGGGTAAAACAATTGTAGAATAATGAGTTAGTGAGGCTGGTGTGATTTTTTGAGAGGATTGGTGTGAAGGGGCTGCTGCTGTTTCTGAGCAGCAGAGTTTATTTTTCTGGAAACGCAGGTATTCGCTGGGCGAATGAGGGGGCGAGCTTTTGCCAGGCGAACTGGGCAGCGAATTCTGCCAGTAGCCTCTGTTTGGATTCGCCAGGGGTTTCGCCGGGCGAATGGTCAGCGAGTGTTCGCTGCGGGGCTTCGCCAGGCGAATGCGCCAGCGAGCCCGACAGCAGTTTGTGTTTTGGCTGTTGTTCTGTGCTGATTTCTTCGTGGATTTGGAATCTTGTTGATCATGTTTCGGTGATGAGCCTAGTAGTGAGCTGCGGCGAGTGTATGTAAGGTTTCAGAATGTGATTCCGTGATATCCGTGTGACTATGATATTGCATCGGTGTATGCTATGATGTATGTCTGTGGTGATGGGTGAGGCATGTTCGATATGTGATAAATTTGATCAGTAGGATCGTCGCGCATCGAGTGCATTGTGGTGATGTGTTGTGATGAGTGGATCCGTAGGATCGACACGCTTTATATGCGTTGCATTATATGCTATTGTGATGAGTGGATCCGTAGGATCGACACGCTTTATATGTGTTGCGTTATATGCTGTTGTGATTAGTGGATCCGTAGGATCGATACACCTTAAGTGCGTTGTGTTTGTGTGTTGTTTGTTGGATTGGATCAGTAGGATCGATATGCCTTATGTGCATGGTGTGTGATATGTTGTGTGGTGATGGGATCAGTAGGATCGATACGCCTTGTGTGCGTTGTATTGACGTGTTGTTGTGATGAATTGGATCAGTAGGATCGGTGCACTTTGTGTGCTTGTGTGTATAAGCATTATATGATGCGATGGATCAGTAGGATCGTGTGCACTGTGTGTGTTGTGTGGTTATGCATAGTGTCTTGCATAGCATGTGGACGTGAGGTATGATTTACTCACGTGCTCCAAGTGAGGAGCGTGGACGGGATTTGGATCGTTGCTCGGATAGAGTGTATGCGACCACCCGTGTTCCAAGTGGGGAACGTTGGTAAGGATAGATCGTTGCTCGGATGAAGTGTATGCGATCTATCCTGAGATTTGATTATATGGGCTCAGGAGGAGCGTGGTAGGGATAGATCGTTGCTCAGATAGAGTGTATGCAATCTATCCTGAGTTGAGTCGGTACCGCATATTGTCGAGTCGAGTGCATGTGTTGCATTGTTGTTTGTGTGTGTTGTGATTGTTGATGATGGGACAGTAGGTCTGGATATGTTGAATGTGAAATAATGATTTATTATTTTCTGCCTTTTATTTCATGTACATTTATACCATTAATATTTGATCGTGAATTCTCATCCCTTCGTTGTTGTGGTATGTGCTTCTTCGGAAGTGCAGACAATCCAGGTGTTTAGCTCGTTTGGATTGTGGTGTCGTCGTAGGATTGCTCTGATACGTAACACCGGGGCTTTTTGGGAGTTTTATTGTTTCTTGTTGATTATGTGTGCCCCCGTGGCGTATCTGATTGTTGTGGGATATGTGATGACATTATGTATATTTTGAGCAGATGGCTGCAATTTTGCTGAATATTATTTTGGAAAATGATTTGTGGAATTTCGTTGGAAATTGTGACATCCCGTTGTGGGAAAACTCTGATATGTGTTTATTTTAATCGTTTTATTCTATTTTGGGGAAACAGGGTGTTACACGAGGGTCCTGCCCGACGATGGGGAAGAAGGAGGCTTGCTGGTCAGAAGCGATGGTCCTGCTCGACAGATGTTGGCCTATGCCCGTCGGAGAAACCATGTGCTCCGTCGACAGATGTTGGCCTATGCCCGTCGGAGAAACCATGTGCTCGACGGAGATCCTGCTCGTCAGCATGACATTCTTAGGCCCAACCTCGTTGGGCTTGGACTTGCTTGGTGGTGGTCTAAGCGTTGGCCCAGTCCAAAACTGTAACCTTGAATATTATGAAATAATAGTATAAATTAGTTTTAATTTTCTTTTTTATTTCTATTTTTTAATCAAAAATATTAAAATATTAAAAATAAATAAATAATTGATGCACCATTGCAGATGACATAATCACTTAATATATGAATGTATGCGCCAATGCAAGTGATAACACATACAAACATGAGTCATTACTAATGACTCCTATGTACTAATATACCATGCATGTGCCAACCACAACGACTACTCTTCTTTACTTCCGAAACATGGTTACCTTTGTAATGGATCTAAACATTGATTATTTTAATATTTAATTTTTAAAAAAAATTGTTATTTAAAAAAAATCTATAGATGACTATCCATCCATTATAAATTATTTTTTATGTTTGTATTGATTTTGATTTAAATTAACATCACTCTATATATTCAAAACAATGAACTAAACTCTCTCGAACATTAATTTACATAAGTTACAGCAGAATCGGCGGCGGACGGAAGCAAGTCAGAGATTTAGGTCGATGGCGCAGATCTCTTCATCATTGTAGTTCATCGGAGCAGGCAAATTGAGATCAATATTTCGAGGCTGAGGCTTGCGAACCGATGAACAAACGACGACACAATCTTCATCATCATCAACCACAGATGAAGAAGAATCACAATCACTGTGACAACCCACAGGAATAAACATATGAACCCTAGAGGTTGAAACCCTAGAGGTTGAAGAAGAACCAACCCTAGGTCCACTGAACAATTCAACGGTACTACTCATACCGCTTGAAGTAGGATAATTAACGAAAACCGTGTCGTCTTTCAACGGATCTCTTATCTCCGCCGCGTATTGGCCGCATTGCCACTTTTGAACGCCGCGGTAACGGATTTCCGGTGACGCAGGAGGATTCGGTCCCGAAACCGGGCTTCGATCTACGCAGGGTGCGCCTTTCACTCGAGCCATCGATGCTGTCACACAAAAAACTGAAAGAATAAAAAGATTTAGTATTTTGGGAACCCGTGTGGTCTTTTCTTGAATTGATTTCAATGGATTATATAGCCGCTGCTTAGGTTTCCATATACTAGGAGAAGGGTGAAATTGGTATTTAATATTTATATAATTATATTTTTTGAATTACTTTTCCTATTTTAAGCGTTTTTTATATCATATATATCATAAAAATACGAAAACAGGATAAGGATAAGATTAAAAGTTTTGGAAATAAATATGATTTATTTTATTAGATTTATTAATAATTCTTTTATTCCGTCAAAGGAAAAAAAATATTTATAGACAATGTATGAAAATTAATGTTATAAAAATATAAAAAAAACTTGAAAAATTACTATAAAAAGATATTTAATTTAGAAAATTATTTAATTTATAACATAAATCAAAATAATAATTTAATAGTTGTATAATATACAATTACTTATTATTACCTTATTAATATAAATATAAATAAAAAATTTTAAAACAAATTTAAATGTCCGATGGAAAATCTTTAAATAAAATTATAAATAAATTAATTTAGAAAGAGTGAAAAATTTAAATGGAAAGATTAACGTTAAAAAATTCATACCTCCTATATATATATATATATATATATATATATATATATATATATATATATATATATATATATATATATATATATATATATATATATATATATATATATATATATATATATATATATATATATATATATATATATATATATATATATATATATATATATATATATATATATATATATATATATATATATATATATATATATATATATATATATATATATATATATATATATATATATATATATATATATATATATATATATATATATATATATATATATATATATATATATATATATATATATATATATATATATATATATATATATATATATATATATATATATATATATATATATATATATATATATATATATATATAATATAATAATAATAATTGAGAGAAAATTCGATTTTAAATCTGCATCTTTTTTATATTATAAAAAATATAAATTATGATAAAATTTTATATTTTTTTGGTAATAAAATAAAATTTGTTTTATATAGATAATTAATGCTTGTTTTTATACTATTTTTTATTTTTTATTTTTTATTTTTTATTTTTTTATAGGCAAAATATCATTTTTCTCCCTTAACTATACATGTAGGTTCAAATTGGTCTCTGTTCTGGACTGGGGCAGGACCTCTCCTTCAGCCGGGAAGGCCCAACCCAAGGTTATGCTGATGAGGTCCAACAAGGCCCAATTTCCTCTATCGAGCAGGAGCCTCAACAAGGCAACTTCGTCGGGCATAAGACTCTTTTGACGGGGAGACCCACGCACTTCCCCTACGTTCTCCACGTGTCCCCCATGCAGGAACATGTCATCAAACAACTATCCACTTTCGAAAGAGATGGTCAGTCCACCTTCCGAAGGTCACAGGGCAGTTGATCTAGAGCGAAAACCACGTCCTGGTCTTCACTATGCCACATAAGCCTTGACAATAACTTGTGTTGAGCTTGGCAATCCAGCCCAATGCAACGTAACCGCTGGCCCTGCGTTAGGGGCACATTATAAGTATCCTCTTTCACTAGAGGGTCATGTATTATATTCATCACACCTTCTTTCTGTACTTGCTCTCTTTAGTTCCGGTACTTACTTAAGCATTGGAGCATCTTGCAGGTACACACCATTTTCTCCTCTACAACTCCAGTGAAGGCAACAACTCACGACGCGTGGCAGACCACTGATTCCTTTCTGATCAGGTAAGATCAGTGACGCCGCCTGTGGGAACTTCTGCTTCCCCGTTCTATCTCCTGTCCAAGCACAGAAGCTCAAGAACCAAACTGAAATAAACCTTAAACTTCCATTCTAATCATGGTTAACCCATGCAATAACAACGCTCCAGGATTTGTCTTTAGGCCTCTTCTCTAACGAGGACGACCACGACCCCAACACGTCGTCCGCAATGAAGACATGGACGGGCGCACTGTAAAACCCTTTTCTACTTCATAATTATTATGGCAAAATAACACAGATATCAGAGTAAAATATTAAATTTAACAAAAGCCACCTCAAAAGGGCGTACATTTCCCAAATCCTCAAAATAGGTCAAGGCTCCGTAAACAACGGGTTTTCCCAAAATACATCAAATTGTACAAAGCAGCGAAACTCAAAAGGCATAAGTCAAGGTTTTCTTCATAAGGAAAGATAATCAAAATAAACTCAAGTGAAATATAGTTTAACTCAAAAGACCCAAATCCGATGTTACATATCAGAGAAAAATCCTCTAAGTTAACCAAAAAGGCTAACGACTCAAAACTTCAAAAAATATCCTCGACGGCGTCCACGGCTAAACCTGACCATCTGCACGTTACCCACGTGGAGGTAACATTCAAACATGCAGGGTGAGTAAAACGATTCATAATAATCAATGTATGAAAATCAACATATAAATAGCGTCATAGTCATATTCCATATCATCATATTCATCAATAGGCCTCAAGGCCGCAACATCATAAATTATTCCAAATGACTCATAAATGCAAATGCAACAAGACTCAATGCATGTGGTACCAATCATCACAGCTCGATGGACACTGGGCTATCAACCCTCCATAGATCCTCATCAATAGAATCAATTATACTAGAGAACCGAAGCACATCAAAACACTTCACATCCACACAATGGGATTGAAGCCAAAGTAATCGAGGTCCTGAACCGAAGTCCGGATGCACATGAATGCATGATGCACACGTCAATAATCATTTTCATAATAACAGCATAGGTGCATCATCATTCATCATAACCATCATCATCATAATCATCACCATATCTCATGTCATCATATAACTCATCAAAATCATGGTAATATCATCATAGTCTTCCAATCAATACATCGTAGGAATCATCATATGATCACATACACATCACATAAAACTCACAGACATACTCATGTTAATTCATCAAAGAAATCACAGAATCAAACATTAAGGCATCGCTCCACACGATCAACATTCGCGAAACTCTGCTACGTTCACTGGCATGTTCGCTAGGCGAGTCTGGGGCGAGTAGGCGAGTCTGGGAATAACATTGTTCGTTGTGCAAAGCATTCTTCGCTAGGCGAACAGTGCGATGACAACAAATTCTGCTACGCACCAGAATCTAAATTCATCTAAATGTTCAACGATTCACTTTCCCAATGCCCTTAAAACATCCCTTAATCATCCCTAAGGTCTTACGGCGATAAAAACATAAAACCTACGATTTATTAGGCCAATCACGTATCATATTCACGCCCTAAATCACAAACTTCCTGTAAGCATCAGAGTTACTCACTATCTAATATTCATATTCCTTCAGGGTTAGATAAATAACAAATCATGGTTTTGGCCACGAAGGCCTAACTTTCCCTTTTCCCTACTGAATTCCACGGTTAGATTCACAATAATAGATTTAGGACACGAAGGCCAAAGATCACTAATTCTCATATCTACCCTCAAAACCCTTAAACCTTAAATTGATCTTAAATACATTGAAAGTTACACATGGAAGATCATGAAGGTAATACTCCTCATACCTTAATTGTTGATCAAAGCCTTCTCAAATCTTTCAGGGAACCTTTCGAAGCTTTTGCCTCAAATCTTCCTCCTCAGAGCTCTGGCCTCAATTCTTCTCACAGTCTAACAAATGAATCTTAATCCCTTCACAATTTCCTTTTTGTTAAACCTAGTCTTGGGCCTCTAAATTGGGCTTTCCCATAATGCCCGCACTAACTCCTCTTAATTGTCCAATTCGCCCTTATTCAACTTATATTTATTTTAATTAATAATAATACTAATATATTCATATTATATACTATTAATTAAATAAATAACCAAAAAATGCATAATTTCTCCACAAAACCACCAAAAATCACCGAAATGCGAATATTCTTATTTAAATAAATATTCCAATTAAATTTGGGATGTCACAACTCTCCCCCACTTAAAATACTTTTCGCCCTTGAAAATTGCCTCAAGGAAACAGAGTCGGATACGACTCCCTCATCTGATCTTCATGCTCCCAAGTTCAACTTTCTCCAGTTGGTCCTCCCCAAACTACCTTCAATAAGGCAATCTCTTTACCTCGCAGCTGATTCACTTCTTGTTCATCAATCTGAACAGGCAACACCTCAATAGTCAAATCATCTATCACCTTTACATCATCCATCTGAATCACATGCGACAGATCTAGAATATACTTCCTCAACTGAGACACATGAAACACATCATGCAACTTCGCAAGCGACAGCGGTAAAGCAATCCGATATGCTACTCCCTCCACCCTCTGCGAAATCTGATATGGACCAACAAAGCACGATGTGAGCTGTTGATATTTCAAAGCTCGACCAACACCAGTTACCGACGTAACTCTCAAAGACACGTGATCTCTCTCTTGGAATTCAAGTGATTTCCTCGTCTTATCATGATAAATTTTCTGACGACTCTGCGACGCTTTCATCTTTTCTTGGATCATCTTGATCTTTTCAGTCGTCTCTTGCACAATCTCAGGTCCAAATACTGCATTCTCGCCTGACTCATACTATCGTACCTCAAAAAATACGATCCTCGCGATAGACGCGAAAAAAACATTCGAACAGAGTCACCACCGAACTTTATTCATTCCAAGGAAGGAATAGGAAAATATCGACAAAACCTTTAAAGAGATAAAAACATGGTCATCGCAACCAATATTCTAGGTTCGTGAGTCGATTACGCAAAGGGAAGGTATTAGCACCCTCTACGTTTGTTGTACTCAACGGGAACCTCTTGATTCGATTCGAGAGTAAGAGTAAAGTTAGCTATGCTTTTCAGTTTTTTTCTAAGGTTTTGCCTATTAGGGGAAATGGTGGTTTTTAAATAGGGTGCTCGCAAAGGATTGGGGCCCTTGTGCCTACGTATC